GAGTCGTGTGTGCATTAGTAGTTTTTGCTGATTTTTGTTAGCGTTTTTGAAAATGGTTTTAGTCGGTTTTGAAACTACCTCAATATGGTCATAATAAAAATTCTAATTGATATTCATTCCACTGATCTTAGTATACCATTAGTGAATTCATGTGTAGTTTTTAGGAAAGGGTATGATTAATAAAAATAAATAAATGAATTGTAAAAATAAATAAATATTAATGAAAGAAAAATGCTATTTAAAAAAAAAAAAAAAAAAGAGGTGTGGTTTATGATCATATTACGTTTGGTTCCGCTTACATTGCATCATGCATTATCATTTATCAGTTCGATTTTTACTCATAGTTCAATCTCTTGCGATAAAATTTGTATATTTATCTCATCGATTGATTCTGAGAAAGGATTATTCTTTTTGAGAGATCATGAACCTATGTTTCTACTCGAAAACAAATTAATAAAATTCTCATTATTATAAATAATGGGATAATACGCTAAAATATTTGTACTATTTATACATATAAGATAGATAAGTTCAAAAATGAAAATAAATTTAGCAGAATTAAATAATACCGTCTGACCGCTATGAAATAATATAGTGATCTGAAATAAATAGCTAAAGCTGTCTATGAATCAATAAATATAAATACTCTTTTACAGAAATAGAAGTATTTTACATAATAGTTATTTTGATGCACCACTCATGGAACCGACAAAATTTATGAACCAATCTCCCTTTGTTAATTTATTGCAATAAAATTAATTTCTACAACCCTAACTTTATAAGCTAAAAGTGCACTGAAATATTTTAAGATATAGTACTTTTAATAAAACTAAAACTAGTATTTTTACTCATTTCGCTATTAATATAATCAAACATATATATATATATATATATATATATATATATATATATATATATATATATATACTAAAGATACAGATAATAAACATTCTATTCTTCCTAAAAATATATTGCTATATCTTATATAGTGTATAAGTTTACTATACAAAATCGAGTATACTAAAAACGCTTTTTAATTGATTATTATGACTTTACTTTTCCTAGAATATTCGAATATAGCTTTCAATGCCAAAACGACATAAAATAGAGGATATAAAATTTCTTGTTAAAAAATGAAATAAAAATTTGTGGAATTAATAAGGTCTTTTGGCAGGACATTGATATCGTTTATTCATTAAATATAATAATAATAATAATAATAAAATAAAAAAAAGAAAACAAAAATCTATACTATTATTTCTTTATAAAATCTGAACTTCATACAATCAATGAAGGGTCTTGTGTAAAGTACTTAGTAACTAACACAAAACATAGATGAAACTTTTATTATACTCTGTGGCAAAGATTTTATATATTAGTGACATTATATATATTTTTTTCACCCCTTCCTCGCCTCTTTTGATTATACGGGATTTTTCCTGGTCTAGAGGAGAGGGTGGAGGAATTAAGATAAAAGTCCCCTCGGCACTGAGAATTAAACTCGTTAACTTCTACTTATCACTGGTTGCTCCGGGAAACACATGTTTTACACATGCGTTAGCTCGCTCGGCTACCCCACCACCTCTTTTTTCTTGGTTTTGCAAGATACTTTTTCATAGATAAATTTTAATGATTGTGCCCCCGAAGGGTCATTCAGCCTCAGGGTCGATTCATGACTGTTATATCAGAATAATTTATTTTATAAAGAAGTAAAATAAAGTTGGTCAGGTGACCAAAAGTAGAGTAATAAATTTGAGAGATTGGAACAATTGACAAAGCATACCTAAAATAAAAAGAATCTTCTAAAAAAAGATAAAATCAGACGCTATGAAACAGTGGCATGACCAGTGGTATTATACGGGTCGGCAACAATGAGGTTTACTAGTTTGGAGGAACTAATAGTTAACAGAGATAGAAAGAAACATCCTAAGACACATCCAAAAACCAAGAGAAGTAGAAGAGTACTGATCTAAAAAAGATAAAACAACAGATACTGCATGAGGAAACTGAAGACTTGTAAACAGCATTGAGGAAAATGATACTAAAATTGTTTGGGTATATTAATACAATGACTGAACAAGTTTAACAAACAGAAATTCGACAAACTGATGGGACTAAGAAACATCGGTGAATACCTCAGGCAGATGAAAGAGTAATTAATAAGAGTTGTATTAAAGAAAAAGAATACTGGGACAGAGAAAAAATCAGAAAATATATTAAAATCCTTGTAGTGGAAAAGAAGAACAGAGAAGAGAAACAATAGAAAGACGAACGAAGGAGAGTATGTAAATGAGTAGCTAATGAAGAGAGTATGGGCCTTGAGAGGAAAGCCGAGAAATGATATATACACGATCCTTAGATTTTCCGTTATTGCGAGAAAAAAAAAATTATATAGAATATAATTTTATTTTATACATATTAATTACTTTGACATATTAAATACTTAATCAACTATAATAAAGCCAAAGACGGGATATGGCGGCCGTTTGAAGGACGTATCCCGTCTATTTCTGATCCAACTTGCTCACCTTCATCAACCGAGCTATATAATTTATACAGTAGCCAATGGTATCTTGATAATAAATCACGTGTGAACTGTAGTGCTTAATGTTAGCGCCGATAATTATTAGAATCAGTTTCTGGAAAATTCCAGTAGTAGTCAGCTTGTTATGCACTTTTGAACATGGTTAAGTTTAAATACCTTAAATGGTTTGGATGTAAATTGCATTGCCATGTTTGTGTTAGTTCCTAGCATGTTTAATTTTAAAAAGGAAAATCAGATACGGTGCGCGCATCACACAACTCCACTTAGCACCTTACTTAAAATTAGTGTAGGGTAGAAATAGTGATGTCCATACATAACGAAATGAAAGTAAAATTATAGACTTCATATTATTCATTTTAAAACAAATAATTTCTATTTATTCCCACCCATCGAATCCATAAATGTATACGCTTGCGTCAACTTCCATTTCCTTTTACGACAGTATATGATGCCTGATAATAATTAGGGGGAAAATGGATTTTTTGGAAAAATTCTGAACATATCCAAATACTGAACATATTTAATTTGAATAAAAACTGAACAAAATAATGTTGCATAAGATTGCTTGTAGAGTACTTGTTTTAGTTTAGTTTAGATTAATTAACATATTAATTACCATGTGTATGTTTATAGTTTTTTTTTATTCACATTATTACTAATTTTTTTATAAGTGTATTATGAAATAAACAAAGGAATGGTACTTAAATTTATAATTTTAGTATAATCTATAATATGAAATGAAGAGAAGAGAAGCATAATAAATAATCGGTCATGTTTTAGTGTACAACATTTCATATTATAATTGGTAAATGGTTGACTGTCGTGGATAATGAAGAGAAGAATAGTTGAGGTTGTCAGTCATAAAAGAAGGCAAAAATAAATGATAATATTTATTTTTACATGTACCGACGTTTCGACCTGAAGTTCAGGCCTTCATCAGGGCTAAGAAAATACCCAGATAACAAGGTATGAGAAACATAAGTAGTGATGGTAAAATAAAAAAAAAATAAAAAAAATAAATAAAAATTCATTTTACTTTATATTTATTTATTTTATTCTTTATTTTTATTTTATTTATTTATTTTTTTTTTGTAATTTTTTATCTATTTATTTATCTATTTTTTTTTTACAATCACTACTTATGTTTCTCATACCTTGTTATCTGGTTATTTTCTTAGCCCTGATGAAGGCCTGAACTTCAGGTCGAAACGTCGGCATATGTAAAAATAAATATTATCATTTATTTTTGCCTTCTTTTATGACTGACAACCTCAACTATTCTTCTCTTCATTATCCACGACAGTCAACCATTTACCAATTATAATATGAAATGTTGTACACTAAAACATGACCGATTATTTATTATGCACATATTTGTAAATACCATTTACGTAAACTTATTATTTATCTTCAACGACCCGCATGGAAATCTTTTTTAAAAATTATTGGTAAGTGAAATATAATAGTTTTTTTATAATTTATTTAATGAAATTTACAATCGCTTAAAATACAGCCAGTAAATATGAACACATTAGAAATAATGACATGAACAGACTTGAAGAGATACTACCCAATGCTATCACTTCCTAGAATATAATAGTAAAATAAAAATTGAAAGGTCTTTACAGTGGGATATTGGGTATGTGTAAATGGATAAGTGATCGGAAAAAGTCGGACGCTCTCGGTTGTTTTCTCAGGTTTTAGTTTCTAACCCTTATTTATTCTTTAGTTAATAATAATTTTTTTTCACTGACTATATTTAACAATTTTCTATTATTAGTTACAATTTTAAATCAGTATTTTTTTTTTATAAAGAAGATTAAAGGTACTATAGAGGAAGAAAATTTGAGAATTCGTCATTTAACCACTACGATACTATTTCAATGAACATAGTATGTGCTCAATCTTTAAGACCAATTGATTTTACATTAATGTAACGAATTTAATCAAAACGATTGTAGATATTTTCGAGAAAATCTTAAATTCGCTTAGTCGATTTCCGATTAATCGATTTTGACGAATAAGTTTCATCACCAGGGTATAATAATTACATAATTTTAGTTCAAACGTTTCGTTTTTGAGCTAGTTTTTTTACAAACTCCCGCACACGAAATTCTGCGAAACTATTTTTTTTTTTTTTTTTTTTTTGGAAACTGAAAGCCTCAAGAATTGTAATTTCTTTGAAAACTCGGATTCAAAAATTTTCATTATCGCAATATTTTTATTTCATTACTATACTTCACATATAGATTAGTGAAAATAAATATTAATATCACCTACTATGTACACATAACAACACAATATGTGTCCCTATCTACTATTTTTTGGATATGATACATGCAATTACAACATAGTATTTTAGTACTTCAGTTTAGTAACACCACTATCGTATCCACGCTTGCGAAGCTCACAGCTGATTGTTGCCTTAAATGCTATTTTACGGTTTAGCACGCCTATGCATATGCCTCATCAAGAACCTCTGATGTCGGAGTGGGCGAAAGCGTGTCAAGCAGTCATCCGTACCTTATGGACGTAATCTGTAACCTATTCAAATACTTATTTCCTCTTTAGTGCGAGGAGAAAAAAAAACAAAAAACTTTGACATGACAGCCAGAGAATTTGAAGTATATACTATTAGAGTATAAGAAATACTATTTGAGTAGATACTATTTGAAACGAGACAATGTACACTATTATTTTATAAATGTGACTAAACAATTAAACATAAATACTTTTCAAAAATAAAGCGTAGATTGAGTATTATAAACATTGTTTTTAATACCAGATCATCAGAAGATGTTGTGGCCCCGAAACATATCTTAATTAATAGAAGATAATGAGAGAAAAAAAAAATCTAAAAATAGAATCTTATATTGCTTTTAAGATACCTATAACCTAAGGGCATTTCATAACATGGATTAAATAGATAAAAATGCTCTCTTCTAGGAGTTATTCGAACTTTCTCCATGACTGCGATACCCAATCCATCAGCAGCCGGCGACCTTTGCAACGGACTTGTAGCTCTAGCCAAGACCTCCCAGAATAGAGGCGGCTGGTGGGAGACACGTTGAGGACACGCGCCGCGCTCGTGCTCGATATTATACAACCCAAGGGATTGGTCGTGTCTTCTCACCGGCGGGTCACGGCGGTCGTATCAGCTGTGGCCTTCCACGTCATGTCTGGGGGGTGTGATCGCTGGGTCTCCCATCCCATGTCACGTCGAGGAAATGACAAACAAAAAAATCAAGAATCTAGACGCCACTCGATGAATATTCAGCAATTTTCCACCAGATCAGGCAGTATTTTCACAGATTAGCATAATGCTAAGCGATATAACATGGTATTTGATAATTGTTGTCAAAGGTCGTCTTAAAAAAGATTGTGGAAGATTTCAATTGTTGAGAATTGCTTTTTCCAGAAATTATATAGAATGACTTACTTTTGCATTTTAAGGGATATCATGTTGAGTAATACAATTAGTAAATGCCCTAATACAAATAATTTATTGTTACTTATAAAAAAAATCCAGTTATCCACCAACAGAAACAGTGCCTGGAATGATACGTGGACAGATTCTCAAACAAGACTAAAGCACATGCACATACACTGATATAACAGACCTGGGAAACATGTATTTTAATTATTATTTTAAATTACTATGAGTTTTATTTTATAGTGTTTTCAGAAAATACATTTCAAATTCAATATACTAGAAGTAATTTATTTTTTAATTACAAAAAACAAAAACAAAATACTTTCTGTCGGACGATTAGCGTATAATACAGGGAACCAACTCTATTTTGTAATTTATTTCGTGTATTTAAAATACACAATACGATATATTTTTTGTATTTTGGTATCTTGCAAATAAAATACAAATACTGTTTTTGAATTTTAAAAAGAAGAAAAGCGGTTACAAACAATCTATTGTTGAAGTAAAAAATACTTCATAAAATGCATAATACAAAAAATGTATTTTATTTTGTATTTTTATCACAAATTTGGATTCCGTATCCCCCTGGAATTCCCCTCCAGTATTCAGCAATGCCATCGTGTGGTAGATGTAGTCTCTGCATTGCAGCGCGGAATTTACTGCACGGAAGTCTTTCTGGACGTTGAACAGGCATTTGATTGAGTCTGGCATCCGGGCCTGATGTAGAAACTCCGTAAATTCATACAACCTGTATACTTCCTCATCATCCGTTCCTACCATACTGACAGATACTTCAAAGTAAATCATAACAATGCTTATTCATCTCTTTTTTACCAGTTTGCTGATGTTCCTCAAGGTTGAATCCTTGGTCCTATCCTTTACACAGTTAATACAGCTGACATCCCAACCCATTCCAACACTGTCATCACCACCTATGCCGATTACACGTGTATCCTATCAGTTCATAACGGTCCATCTATTGCATCCCAAACTCTTCAATCGCACATCACAAGTATTGAAAAATGATGTCAAAACTGGAGGCTTAAAATAAATTCGAATAAATTATCTTTACTCTTCGTCGTAAACCTATGACTTCCTGTCCTACAGTATCCTCTAACAATGCCCCTCTTATCTTTGTTGAACAAATCCGATACCTAGGACTCCAACTTGATAAACGACTCACTTGGAACCCTCATACCAGATTGATACGACTAGAAACCACCATACGTTTTCGACTGCTGCAGCAATTACTAGACAAACGCTCTAAACTTCCAACTATTTATAAAACTCTCACATATATTACTATAATAAAGGCTATTTGCACTTACGGGATCGAGCTTTGGAGCTCTACTAAACCATCAAATTCCTCTCGTATCCAATCCAAAATCCTTCGTAAAATCCTCAATGCTCCCTACGTTGTCACAAATAAAATCACCTATAACGAACTTAATGCACCATATATTTCCGATTTAGCTCAATCCAGATACCTATCCTTCCATAATAAACTTCTGAACCATCCGATCCCTCTTGTTTCCAACATTGCTTCCTCTTCTATTTCTGATAACCCTCCGAGGCGTCTGAAATGAAGATGGGCTCCGGACCTTCTAATATAGAGTACTACCAATGGGTAGTTTTTCTTCATGTTGTACATGTCATGTTACTTATTTCATATTTACTTATGGTATATTTGTCATTTAATACATTTGTAAATTCCAACAATAAAAAGCATTTTAAAATATTTAATTTGAAATACTGCCCAAATATGTAAAAAAACTCTGCAACCATTTAATTTACAACAAAAAAAAACTCATTTACACATAATAATGGTTCACCAAAATGGTTTGTTATTTTGGGCTCTGAGATTCTTCTTGAAATTTATTATATCATAAATAAAATTATTTAGTTATAAAATTTTATTTCCTTTAACGAGGAACTATTAAGGAATTCATGAAAAATTATTAACTATATCTGGCTTCCATAAAACACAGCATTCTTGGAATGATTCATTCATTGTGAGTTGCTACTAGTTTTATTAAGAAGAGCATTATTTACTGTTATATAATTTATAAATAAATCATATTTTATTTTTAAGTTTGATAAGGAGCCAATTTAAGTCTGTATATGGTCCAAGCCATTTTGAAAGACTTTCAAGCGATTTCTTTTATAAGTGATCTCCATTTCCAGAACCATTGTTTTCTAAAATTAATCAACAATTACAAGTACTTCAACAATAATTTCTAATACTACTAGTATGTACTTTACACAAAAATTAACAAAAACATGTTTTAATTTTTATTTTTTATAAAAGAATTATACTAAGAATATTAATTTTTTTTTCACCTACCTCGTCATTTTTGGCATAGGGAGGTTGTTCTAGTATAACTTTTTTAAAAAGTATACGACATTGTATACGACTAATTTTTACACCTGATTGATAACTAATTAAAAAATATCTCTTGAATTATCTCAAATTACATTTAATTATAATATAAATTTTTAAGTGATTATAAAAGTCAATTTTCAATCAATTTTTCAAATTGTGGGGACTCACATTATACACTGGACCACAAAGCGAATTGATATTCTCGTTTAATCGAGGCTAAACCAGGTGGTTGGTGAAGTTTCATGAATAAATCTGCCTTGTTCCAACAATACGAGGCCCTTTTTCATTATGGAGGCGCAGTTAGTGGCTTTGCAGACTGCATTGGCAATGTCAGCTTAAGAGGACATTCCAAAGGCGTTCAACCTCGGCTAGACATGAGCTATCGGCGCTAGGCGCGACTTCGCTGTCTCGAACCATCGAGATTATTTATGTTTACACTTTCACTCGACCTCGTTCTCCAAGTAGTTCGCCCAAGGGACTTTAGGGGACCAGGGACCCGTGTGTCGTGGTATACCCAAGGGTTATGTAATGTAACACATGAGTTATCAGTCGTAGGTTTGGCAAAAACAAATCGTCTGAACAAATCAAGTTACCTATTTATTCTGATACTGGAATGTTCACTTTTCCATGTTTCTACGATATCAGCTTATTTTTACGGTGGAAGGATACAATTCTTATTAAGAAATTCAAAAAAATATTGGAAAATAAACCAATATCAAAAAGCCAATAATACCAATAGTATTATTATTACTGGAACCATGAACAGGAGTGAACAGAGCGGCGGAGCTAGTAACGAGTTCGAATCCCGGTGTTAATCCTCCGCCCTCTCACCGGGTCTGGTAAAAAACCCGTATAACCGAAAAGGCAAATAAGGAGAAGAAATAAAATAGTAGAACCTTGAATAATTTCATCAAGCTTCCACCGAAGGGTTTATATCTGAGATAAATTTTCAAATAATACGAATAATTAACGTGTTAGAATAGAATAGAATAGAAAATAAACTTTATTCTGGGACGATGTCCCATTAGAATAACAATATTGGACAGTTACAAAAGAAAAAATACATATCTGGCCAAAAACTAACTTAATAAAGTTTCAAACAATATATAAAACAACTTAAATAATAGTATATAAATTACTAAAAAATAAAATAAAATCTTTTCTATATTTATAAACTAAACTATATTTATAATTTTACTGTAAAAGTGATAAAAATAAAAAAAAAGAATTACATGTATAGAAAGAAAAAGAAAAACCTCCAGAAAAAAAATATATCAGAATTACGTTAATAAAAAATGTTAAAACCCAAACAGCTAAAGCATACAAAATATATACATATATTAAAGATATATTAATGAAAGAAGATGAGCAACGGGATCACACCAGAAAAAAAAAAGCTGATTTAAAGAAAATAAATTATGGATATATGTTATACAATACACAATGGTAATGTAAACTATAAAAAAAACGGAGAATAAGATAGGAAAAGATATATACGTATACAAATTGAGGAATGTAAGAAATGAACTATATGTAAAATATACACTATCTTGTAGAAAAAAGAAAAATGAATAAAAACAACAAACAATCTCTCATTTTTTATGCATCACCTCAAATGTATTACTAATATTTCTCTAAGATTTCTTCACATAAAGTCATTAACTTTTGTTATTCACTTTTAATTTCTTAAATACGAATTTGTTGACATCTTTAATTAAATTTTACTCTGGCCGATATGAAAAGTTTGCAAATTTTAATAACAAAAATGTTAATAACAATATTGCATGACCTCCGTTTGTTAAAGATTTTGGTAGTATGGAATACCTTTTAATAGGAAGAGGTCCCTAAAATCACAAAATCGTGTGAGGAGGCAAGGGCAATTGCCCATCTTGTCCTCCTGATAATAAACAAAAAAAAAATTGATTTTATTCGCAAGAAATGATTTTGTTTCTTCGCAACTCCGTCATTCGTGATGCGAATTAAAAATACTTGTTTTAACAATTAAATAAACGTCTGCTGGTACATATAAAATTACCGTACGTTTTAATATAGTATTAAAATCTTGATGGTCGTTTTTTTTATTTTTTTATACGAAGTATTTTAACACTGCAGTTTCGAATTAACGAATATTTAAAGTTAATTAGTTTAATTTCTAAACATTTTCAAACTATTTTTGGATTAGCTTGACAAACAGGATAAATAAAAATAGTCGCACGATTTTTTTATTTAATTCAGTTTAAAGGCTTAGCTGGAAAATAAATATTGAGACGATTTTTGCTACAAATCATTATTATATTTTTGAAAAAACGATTGTTTTATTCAGTTATTTTAAATATCCACTACATGCATAGAACAAAATTGACTGTATTGTTATTA